GACCGTTAATTACACATGTTTTTACCCCTGTTCTTACACCGTTTGAGGTGTTGATTCTCGTGTTTTAGGCCGATTTCACGCTAGGTTGTGCTTGTTTGTGATATTTCAGGTCCTAGTACGTGAATGGAGGCTTGGGAGCGAGTTTGGGGTCGATTGGACGTATATCGGACGCGTGGCGAGGTGCCAAGGAAGCCGCACGGGCAGTCCGGGACATCACACGGCCGTGCAACTTACAATTGTGGCCGTGTGATTTTTGCCGAGAGCAAACACGGGCAGGATGGAAATCTCACACGGCCGTGCGACCGTGGCCGTGTGGGATGGCTGAAGTGCAAATAATTGATACGCTGCGTTTTGACTCACACGGGCAACTGGGTGAGCCACACGGCAGTGTGGCCTGCCCGTGTGAGTCAGGAAATCTTGGTTTTTCAGCCAATTTCGAGCCAAAAAGTGGAGAATCGGATTTTCAGAGCAAAAACAGAGCCCTAGAGAGAGAAAGTACGAAGAACACATCCTAGAAGCTATCTTGGAGCTGGGTTTCGTCAAATCGAGCTTGGAGATCGTCATAGGAGTGGAAATCATCATCCCGGAGCAGATTTTCTTCATCATTATGAGTATGACTACTCCGATTACTGTTTTCTTCTCTCTCTCTCTATGGAGTAGAACCCTTCTCTCACTTGGGTATGAAGAACCCTAGTTCCTGGTGTTAGGGATTTGATTGTAATGACTTGGGATGATTATACTGTTTGGTTTTAATCGAATGATGCATGTTTATTGAATTGATTGAAGTCTGATCAGCTTTTCTTGATTTCTGCTGCAACCTGAGATAGATAGAATCTGATTAGGTTGTTAGAGCCTCTTCATTCGATAGTAGGAGATTGGTTATACGAGAGTTAGCCAGTTTACTGCTTTGTACTGGAATACAATTCCAGTAGTGGAGTTCTGTGCTTATTGCTTCAGCTTTCTATCCCGGTGAAGACTAGTCGTCTGCCGGGTAGTTAGACTGAGAGGGCTTGGTCAGCTTAAGAGATTCCAAGCTACTGTCGGATCTTCCGCAGTCTAATCAACAGTAAATCAACTCATGGTAATTACAATTGAACCTAACTAAGGAGCTAGGGGGACTCATTCCCGAGTGACTCTTTCCTGCTTGAGAAAACCGAATAATTTCATGCTTTCTTACTGCTTTTAGTTTAAACACAAATCACTCGACTTAGTTGGCTAGATAATAGACAATCACGGAGTAAGCAGTAGATCTAGACCCCGGGTTGATAATAGAACTTGCTTGTTACTGCATTCCCGGGCTGCGATTACACTTGGTCGCAGTTTGGTGTTGTGTTTTGGCGTGTCAAGTTTTTGGCGCCGTTGCCGGGGATCCTCTAGGTTATTGGGGAAACGTGAGAATTTGTTACTCTAGCTTTTTATTTATTGCATTTCATCTCTTCCACCTGTGTGCCTTCACGGGTTGCTTCTACTGATTGTGTGCAGGTAGTGCATGACCCGTAGCCAGTCGGGAGAACTACTACCATTAGACCAGGAGCTTGAACGAACCTGCAGGAACTTCAAGCGTGCTCTAAAGGCGCGACTGGCTGCGGAGGAGGCGCTATCACAGCTGCAGATCGAAGACGAAGAAGAGATGGCTGATCCACAGAACCATGATGTGATCAATCCAGAGGAGCAGACCATGGGATCCTACTGGACCGCAAGAGCTGCGGATATGAGGTCACCCATTCAACACCCTCATGTCCCAGCCAACAATTTTGAGGTGAGCACCTCAGTAATCACCATGCTGCGCGGTTCAGTAGTGTTCCGTGGTAAGGAGGGGGAGTGCCCCCGATCACATCTCAGGCGATTCCACGAGCTCATTAATGGAATCAAGATCAATGGGGTACCAGCAGATGCCATCCAGCTGAGGTACTTCCCATTTACTCTGGAGGGGCAAGCCAAGGAATGGCTAGACACTCGACCTCCGGGCTCTATCACCACGTTCGCCAACCTGGCGGACAAGTTCCTCACCCGCTACCATCCTCCATCCAAGACGGCTGATCTTCAGAAGCAGATTACCTATTTTGCTCAGGATGAGGATGAGACCATCCGGGACGCATGGGAGAGATACAACAGTCTCTTCCTGAGGTGTCCCAATCATGGCTTCAATGATGCTTTCAAGGTGGGCACCTTCTATCACGCCCTCTTCCCGGAGGACAAGCAGCAGATTGACTCGGTTTGTGGCGGGAACATGCTGACCAAAACACCGCCACAGCTGAATCAACTCTTTGAGGATATGGCAGAGAACGGGTATGATTGGGGAACTGCCAGGAGATCGAGACGAGCACCAGGAAGGAGTGTACATTCTGTGCGAACCCATTCCTCTGATTTGGTGCAGGTAGTATCGAAGCTGGTTTCAGCTATCGATTGTTCCGGGATGATTCCAGGGACCGGACAGCAGCAGGCGATGCTCTGCCACTGGTGCGAGAGCACCCATCACTCGGTGGAAGACTGCCAGGCGATGAAGGAATCGACCACACCCCAGGAGCAGGTGAACTTCATCAATAATGTCAGGCGCAATGATCCCTACAGTAACACCTACAACGAGGGGTGGCGCCAGCATCCTAACTTCTCCTGGGGTGGGGCAAATTCCAGACCACCAGTCCCCCAGGGACCACCGGGCTTCCAGAGGCCACCATATCAGCCCAGACAGGGGCAATTCCAGCAGCAGCAACAGTCTCTTTATCAGCCCATGCAGGGGCATGCTGCTCAATCACAGCCGCGACCTTTCCAGCATCCAGGTGCAGCCCCTGCTGCCCCAGTGCAGAATGATCAGATGGCTGAATTGCGGGACTTGGTGGGTTCTCTCGCCAATTCTAGTGCTCAGAAGTTCAACACTATCGAGCAGTTCATGGAAAAGGCCTTGGGTAAATTCCTGGCTCTTGAAGCTGGTCAAAGGAACACACAGGCTGTCTTGCAGGATATCCAGACCCAGCTGGAGAGCGTGGCTCAGGCAGTGGCTCAAAGGGCTCCTAGTACTCTACCTGGGCAGACCATCCCTCATCCGCAGACCCCAAATGAGCACTGCAATGCCATCATGACCAGGAGTGGCAAGATGACTGTTGATCCACCTGCTCGGGAACAAGAGAGAGAGACCCCTGTCTTAGCGCCTCCAGCGGTTGAAGAAGAGGCAGAAAAGGAGGTTGAGGTGCCTGCACCTAAGCCGCAACCGATAGTGAAGGAGTATATCCCGAAACTCCCCTTCCCTACTCGGTTGCACAGAGACAGGCTGGAGGCAGAGTTCGAAAACTTCATGGCCATGCTTAAGAAGCTGAATGTCCAAGTGCCCTTCCTGGAGGCACTATCGCAAATGCCTAAGTATGCAAAGTTTCTGAAAGAGCTTCTCTCGAAGAAGCAGAAGCTGAGTGAGCTGGCCACTGTGGAGCTCAGCGAGGAGTGCTCGGCTATTCTGCAGAACAAGCTTCCGCAGAAGAAGAAGGACCCAGGTTTTACTATCCCGTGCACTATTGATAAGTTGCATATAGAGAGGTCCTTGACGGATTTAGGTGCTAGTATCAATGTTATGCCGTATAAATTGTTCAAGAAACTAGGCCTAGGTGAACCCCGCGCTACTAGGATAACCCTTCAATTAGCTGACAGATCTGTAGTGCATCCTAGGGGCATAGTGGAAGACCTTCTGGTTAAGGTTGGCAAATTCAAATATCCTGTGGATTTTGTTGTCCTGGACATCAATGAGGACACAGACGTGCCCCTTATACTGGGAAGGCCTTTCCTGGCCACCGCCAAGGCTCTCATAGATGTGCATGATGGGACCTTAGTTTTGAGGGATGGCGAGGAGCGAATAACGTTTTCAATTGCTAATACTCTACCTGCTCCGTTACCTCTGCATGCTGTATCTCACCAGGAGCACGAGTCTGTCATGTATCCTTATGTGTTTCCTATTTTGCAGGATCCGCCTCCCATACCTTTGCCGCCACTCCAGTCCACACCACCCCCAAAAGAACAGATCAAGGAGGAGTGGCGGCCGAAAATGCAGGCAGCCAAGCCTGATCAAAAGAAAGCCGTAGACCACTATGAGCTGGTCCCGCCCCCACCTTGGCCATCCGAGTATTCACTCGCTTGCATCTTGCCGGATGGCCAAGTCGAGCTGGCGAATGCTGGTGGCCACATTCGTCGCGTGCATGGCCACCATTTGAAGTTGTACCTCAAGAGCGATGTGGATCCGCTCTTGAAGGCACCTGATCCTACACTTCCCTGAGCATCCATACTGGCGTCCAGCTAAAAGACGGTAAAGAAGCGCTTGTGGGGAGGCAACCCCACCGAGGTTTGCATTTTCTTACTTTTTTTTTTGTTTTTTTTTTGTGTTTTTTGAGTCTTGAGATGTTGTTCCAGAGTCGAATGTCATTTTTTTTTGTGAAAACAGGTTGATTTCGGGGCTCTAGCAGCTCACACGGCCAGGCTATCTTCTCGCACGGCCGTGTGGATTTTACCCCCTGGCCGTGTGAGCCCTCGGCAATTTTCGCACGGCCAAAAGTGCAAATTTGCACGGCCGTGTGGGTTTGCCTGGCCTGGCCGTGTGGCCGACACGGGCAACACAAATTCTCGCACGGCCGTGTGGATTTTATCCTCTGGCCGTGCGAGCCCTCGGCAAATTCCACACGGCCAAAAGTGCAAACCGCACGGCCGTGTGGAATTCCTCGGCCTGGCCGTGTCGGCCAACACGGGCAAAACAATACCTCACACGGCCGTGTCGACCTGGCCGTGTGGCCGAGCCACGGCCTATAAATTCGGCCGAGTGGTCAGAACTTTTCACAACCCTCGCCGGAATCCTCTGAATCTGGCCGGAAAACCACAACAAACCACCCTATTTCGATTTTTCTGCCCATTTTTTGTCATTTTTTCACCAAACCAACAACAAACCCATCCTTCCCTGATAAGCGCCAAGTCAGAACTTGACCCTCAAACACGCAGCGAAGCAAGAATGGAAGAGTGAGGATGGATTTCGGAATAGTCGAATAGAGGTTTTAGCGGATAAAACGAACCAAGCTAGCAACTTCAACACGAGGGGGAAGAGGCTGGTTTGGGTAGAACAACACTACGAGATCAAAGGTGATGGATTTGATCTCGAAGTCTGCAAGTCCAGGATCTCGATCCAAGACCAAACTCAAGCACTCGTGCTCAAGAAAACTCCTCGGAGTAACTTTGAATTAAACCCAATGATAACGTGTCTTTACAAAGGAAGAACAAAGCTATTTATAGCCAAATAACATAACCTAATCCTATTAAGACAATGAAAACGAATTCAATTGCAACAAGGAAAGTAATTAACACAAATAACCCAAAACTTGCACGCTAAGTAAGCTGTCCAGGAAACAGCTCAAACAGCCTTGATGTCAACTTCGTGGCTCCAGAAATCGACCTTCTTGGTTGAGTCGGGTTCAGCCAATTCCTTCTCTTGGTTTAGAAAGTTTTACTATTTCATTTCCAACTCCAAGCTCCAGCTGGTCATGCTCCAATCTCCTTGAATCCGAGCTCCAAGTTGGTACCTCAAACTGTTTCCCTGCCTTAGCCAAAAACTGGCAGATTCCAGAATGCATGATAGGGTTTTGATGGCTTTGGAAAACAACCCTCCTGACCTTCTTTCCACAATCCAAATGCATCAAACCATCAACAAACATCCAGGGTTCAAAATAAGACCCTAACCTTGCATTTCCAATGAGAGGTTTGAGAGAAATAGCCCTCCAAAGTACCCTTCCCAAAACTGTCTCAACACTTAGAAAATTCCCAGCCAAGTTCGTATTAACTTGACCCGATCTTTGAACGTTTTGTTTGAGATGATTCAAGGGTGGAATTGAGATCATATCAAGCCCCCCTTCTTTAAAAAGCTTTGTCCTCAAAGCTTGAATCATCCTGCACTCAAAAAGGTCGACAAAATCATCCCAAACATGATCACAAAACGTCAATGTCAAAACCTTATTTTCCGGTGAGGCCCGATTTTCCGGCGAGGCTTTTGAAATTGGGGCTTTTGTGTGGCGAGTGCCTCGTCCCAAATTACTGCCTGAATCGAGTTCTTCTGGGTCCCAGGGATCTTCTTCATCCATTTCCAGCCTTCGATTCATTCCCATTCGACTTCCAGCGCCTCTCCCATTTTTCCCGCCACCTGAAGATTTAAACCTTCCAGATTCCGGCGAAGATTTTCCAGAATCCGGCGAACCCAATTGGAAATTGGGCATCTCTTCTGCAAGCTTCATCGCCCCGTTTTTCGCGCATCCTACACCTTCCCTGAGGTTGTAGGAGTGGATCCCAAGCGCGGAATTGAGTCGAATCGCGCCCGAACTCCTCGACCGATTCTCCCAAATTTTGTTCGTCGGCCACCTTATGTGGAGGCAAAATTTTGCGTCCGGACTTCGTCGAGGCAGCTTGATCCGTCGAGTTCTGGCTTGTTTTACACGTTGTTGGGCGAATTTCCAATGTGTTGAAGCTAGCATCTCGCTCCGCTTCGCCTCCAGCTGGCCCACCCGATTCGGTGCTCTTCAGGGGAGCCGCAAAACAGGGTCGGCGGGCTCTGCTTCGCCGTGGCATGGTTCTGCCAGCAAGGATGGTCAACAGATACCGTCGAGCCAACAGTTGGCTCTCATTTACTCGTACCGATGCGGCAGCGCCCGATTCCATTCTCCTACTGCCCCGGCCTGACGCCATGTGACGTTGATCTTCTCGCACCTCGTCCGGCGTCAATGGTTTAAGGATCATCTTCTTGCCTCCGTGCTCGAAGGTATAGATATTCGTTCGACCGTGATGGGACGCCTTTCGATCGAATTGCCACGGTCTTCCCAAGACCAAGTGGGCTGCCTGCATCGGTATAACGTCGAATAGCAATTCATCGCGATAATTGCCGATCGAGAAAGGGATTCTTACTTGCTTGTTGACTTTAATTGCAGCGTGGTCACTGAGCCAATGAAGGGAGTATGGTTCTGCCCGGGGAATCATAGCTAAACCAAGTCTTTTAACGACGTCAAGACTGGCCACATTCGCACAACTTCCACTGTCAATGATCACCGTCAAATTTTTTCCTTGAACTTGGCATCTGGTGTGGAATAGGTTGTTCCTTTGATCCATCTCAGAAGAATCCACCTCCTGATTTGCCAAGGCTCGTCGAACGACAAACAAGGGTCCCTTGTCTGCCTCCATCTCTTCTCCTTCTACATCGACAGTTGCCTGCTCCTTAGGCTCTTCCTCGTCCTCTGAACAATATTGCCCATCTCGGAGTACCAACACCTTCTGGTTAGCACACTGATGTGATTTATGCCCATATCCGTGGCACTTAAAACAACGAATTGTGCCGCTAGAAGTGTTTGCCTTCTCTGGAACACTCGGATTAGTATTCCTATTCATGGTACGAGGAGTTTCAGTCTTTAATTCGGGTTCAAGAATTGGCTTGGGAGTGTTGTTTGCTGTAGGAGACCTTCTGTTCGCACCCTGCAGCTTCACTTGTTTCTCAATTTTGGTTGCGAGGTGAACTGCCTCCTCAAGATCAACAAAAGGCCTGAGCTCAACTTCCTGTCGAACATCACGATTCAAGCCATGTAGAAACCGTGACAGAGTTGCCTCTTTATCCTCGCGTACGTCTGCGCGCATTAAGAGCAGTTCGAGCTCTCGGAAGTAATCCTCAACCGTCCTCGCACCTTGACGAATTCCTTGTAACGCTTCATGGATCTCGCGGTGATAATAGCTTGGAACAAAACGTTCCCTCATCAGCCCTCGGAGCTCGTCCCAAGTCGCCACTGGAGGCTGTTGATTTTGTCGGCGACGAAGCTGCAGTCTCTCCCACCATTGCGCGGCATAATCCGAAAACTCGTAAGTAATCATGGCTAATTTTTGTTGCTCGCTGAATTGCCCGCACTGGAAGAACAGAATAATCTTCCGCTCCCAATCAAGGTACGCCGACGCGTTCAATGTTCCTTGAAAGGATGGGATGATCAACTTGATTCCTTGAGGAATCAAGGACTCTGTTTCCTGATGCCTTCCCTGGATTTCACGGTGACGACGTCCAGGCTCAGGATTGTGCACTACCATCTGCTGTTCCAGCTCTTCTACTCTGGCCATAAGCTCTCGGTTCCTTTGCTCTTGCTCGACCTCAGCTTCCCTGCCGCGAGGAGCTGCCGTTGCTCGTCCCAGTTCTGGTAGCGCCTGAGACAGGGTATCAATTCTCTGTCCCTGCTGTTCCATCTGGCGCTCGATTTTCTCAAATTGCGTCTGGAAAATAGCTCCAATTTGCGCAGTGATGGTTTGTAAAAACTCTGTTGTATTAAACTGTCCCGACATCGCGATTACACCCTCCGAATTTGGCTCGTCGAGATTTACTCCTTCCTTCCGTCGAACAGCCGGGTCTCGCTCAACCGGGCCTTTGGACCTCGTCCAAATCGTCGTTCCCGCAATGTCGTCCTTCGTCCTGTCCACTGAGGTGAACCAGGCTCTGATACCACTTGATAAGCGCCAAGTCAGAACTTGACCCTCAAACACGCAGCGAAGCAAGAATGGAAGAGTGAGGATGGATTTCGGAATAGTCGAATAGAGGTTTTAGCGGATAAAACGAACCAAGCTAGCAACTTCAACACGAGGGGGAAGAGGCTGGTTTGGGTAGAACAACACTACGAGATCAAAGGTGATGGATTTGATCTCGAAGTCTGCAAGTCCAGGATCTCGATCCAAGACCAAACTCAAGCACTCGTGCTCAAGAAAACTCCTCGGAGTAACTTTGAATTAAACCCAATGATAACGTGTCTTTACAAAGGAAGAACAAAGCTATTTATAGCCAAATAACATAACCTAATCCTATTAAGACAATGAAAACGAATTCAATTGCAACAAGGAAAGTAATTAACACAAATAACCCAAAACTTGCACGCTAAGTAAGCTGTCCAGGAAACAGCTCAAACAGCCCTTGATGTCAACTTCGTGGCTCCAGAAATCGACCTTCTTGGTTGAGTCGGGTTCAGCCAATTCCTTCTCTTGGTTTAGAAAGTTTTACTATTTCATTTCCAACTCCAAGCTCCAGCTGGTCATGCTCCAATCTCCTTGAATCCGAGCTCCAAGTTGGTACCTCAAACTGTTTCCCTGCCTTAGCCAAAAACTGGCAGATTCCAGAATGCATGATAGGGTTTTGATGGCTTTGGAAAACAACCCTCCTGACCTTCTTTCCACAATCCAAATGCATCAAACCATCAACAAACATCCAGGGTTCAAAATAAGACCCTAACCTTGCATTTCCAATGAGAGGTTTGAGAGAAATAGCCCTCCAAAGTACCCTTCCCAAAACTGTCTCAACACTTAGAAAATTCCCAGCCAAGTTCGTATTAACTTGACCCGATCTTTGAACGTTTTGTTTGAGATGATTCAAGGGTGGAATTGAGATCATATCATTCCCACACCAAAAGCGGCCTATCCCTCCATTTTGAGGAGATTTGGCCGACGTTTTTGTCGCCGGAGGCGATTTCCGGCGAGACTCCGACGACCACTTCCGAGCAGATTTTCGCACTTTCGTTAAGTGCATTTCATTCATCTCATCATTCCCTACAATCCTACTTGAGTCTCCAGGTTTGATTTCGCCATTTACCTTATGATTTGAGGAGAATTGGATATTAGGGTGTATGTTTAGAGAATCCATTTGAAATGAATGAATTGAATGAAATTGAATGTGGGGAATGCTTGGATTATGTATGATTGATGTTAGGGCATATTTACAATGTTGATTTGAGGCCTTGTGTGCTATGAATGTGCTAATTTCATGCTTAACTTAATAGTGCACACAAGGTGTTCGATGAAATGCCTGTTTTCGTACCATTTTGTGGGAGTCGGTTGGGACCCTTAATGATGTGCTTTGAGGGTGTATTTGTTATGAATGTGAACCTTGAGCTGCCTACTTGTTCATGGATATGCACCCCCACTCAGATAAGGCTTGCTTTATCGAGTTTTTGACCCCCGAACCATGGATGAAACCATGGTTAGGCTGATTTCTGTTCTTAAGTGTGGGGGTGTGCTTGACCTTTTCTTTGGCTCTTTTGGTTCCACTTTGGGTTTTTCTTTTGCAGGACAATGTCGAAACCTGACCTCAAGCACCCGTTCATCCGGGATCTGAAGAGGGGCCCCGCCGAGAATCGCTTCAAGCAGGTCCTGGCATGCCCGTTTGGGCAGCACCATTGCTGGTCCAAACGGGAGTTTCAGAAATTGAACTGCTACGAGCAACTCTCCGCCGCCGTCACCAACCGCGCATGGCGCCGTCTTCTCTGCATCTGCGTAAAGGTTTACTACGAGCCCGTGCTGGAGTTCTACAGGACCTTCAAGCACACACCCACGGACGATTGGAGAGACGGTACAGCCGTCTAATTCAGGCTCGGCGGTGCCCCCCGGTCCATGAGCTACCACGAGCTGGCCGAGGCTCTCGACCTCGACCTAGATTACCATGGGCGCTACATCACCGAGGTCAATGACCCGCTGGAGGTGGACTTCCGGAGGCTGTACACCCGCCTGGCTCGGCCAGGCCAGACGCGTCCCTTCTCGGCTGGGAGGACGAAGGCATCTACCCTGCTGCTCGACAACCGCCTTCTCCACCACCTGCTGGCAAAGTCTTACACCCCAGCGTCAGACAGTGCCAGCGCCATCACCAAGAGGGCCATGTACTTCATCGCTTCGATCCGCTAGTACAACCATCCTCTCCACTTGGGTTCGGTGGTGGCCAGGACCTTCGAGAAGACTGCTACGGAACTGAAGAGCCTCCACTGCGCCCCCCTCATCACCCGCCTGGCCACCTACTTCGGGCTTTCACTGCAGGGGTGCACACAGCAGGGGGACACCCTCGTCTTTGGCAGGAAGACAATCGGTAAAATGCACCTGCTGCGAGAGAACCGCGGCGTTCTATGGATCGAGGGGTTTCCGGAACCTCAGATCCCCGCGGAGGAGCAGCCGGAGGATCAGCCAGAGGGCTAGGAGGAGGAGGCAGGTGAGGATGTCGACCCAGATGATGTGGACTCTGCTGTTGATCCACCACAGACTGACTTCCATTACGGAGGTGGCAGCTCCGCTTTCCCGGGGCAGGATTACTTCACCTCCCAGTTCGAGCAGCTGCGTCTCCAGAACCAGCAGATCCTCGACCATCAGATGCAGTTCCAGCAGCAGTACGCGGCTCACCAGGCCGAGTACCACCAGAGGATGACTGCTTATGATGAGCGCCTGGACATGATCCAGACACAGCAGGGGGTGACTCTCGCACACATCGAGCGAGAGAAGCGCCGCTCTAGGCGCATGCAGGAGGTTCAGCAGCACTTACTCCAGCTGCTACCGGGCGAGCAGCCCGTCTGGAGGACTCCCTGGGAGGACTCTCCACTTCCACCTCCCCCAGCGGATGGTGATGATGGTGCTGATGGTGATGACGCCTTCATGGACGACATCGATCTGGATATCTTGGCGACGAGTAGGCTGTACTCGTTGCCCATCTCAGTGTGTTTTTGTTTTCGTTTTAGACTTGTGGTGTTTGCTCCATGTGTGAGGAGCTTGAACTTAGTGTCGTTTGTTTTTTTGTTTTTTTTCTTTTGTGGTTTTTTATGTTGTAGCCGTCTGGGCTAACACTTATCCCTAACGCACAGTGTGCTAGTGTGTTCTTGGTGTTCGATTCGTGCAGAACTGTCCATCTTCCCGTTTGTTTCTCGCTGACTGGTCCACTTCCAGTCCCCCAGCAGTGTTCACCGGTACATCGTTCCCCTTATCTCTCCCTCTACTCCATTGAGGGCAATGTCGTGCTTAAGTGTGGGGGGTGCTTTGTATCGGTTGGAATATATATTGTGTGCTTGGAGCTAGTCCGCTGTCCGAATCTTACGATTTGAGGGCTCCAAGTACTGCTGTTTGATCATATTGGCACTGTGTTTGATTGATGAATTGAATGGTTTTCGGATTGATGCATGACAGCTTGATTGTGACTAGGACAACCTATGAGAGGACTGAGATGTGCAGTAGAATTATGTAGGGTTCATTTTTCAACTGTTTGCTTACCAACTGTGACTTGATTTGATCACTTGTTCTTGACAGTCGTTTATGCATCTAGTTCAGGGTATCAGAATGTGAGATAGAGCATATAGGTAGCCATGTGAGATTTGAGCCTGCTCGTTTCTTTTTGTGCGATAGATCCCTCTTCCATGATGTGTAGCATTCACGTTGTCACTAGCTAAGATGATGGGGGCATAGGATTAGCCCACGACCAAATTGACTGTCCTGATGTGTCATATCCCCTAGTCAGCCCCTTTGAGCCGTGTGTTATCCTTTCTTTTGGTCTCTAATGAAAAATCACCCTTTTGCATCTTTTAGAAGGTTCCACAGAGTGGTTTTTACATATTCTTTGCTGTTTCTGCTAAATTGATGTGAGTGTTGGAGGTAGTGCTTAAAAGTTGGGCAGTGTTTGAAATATGTGCAGAAGTGGTGGCTCTCTTAAGAAATGAAAAGAAATGAAAGAAAAACAAAGAAAAAATTGAAAGCAAAGAGAGCCACTACCAAAAATCTGAATAATGCCCAGTAAGTAGTGTTTCTTAGCAGTCTGGCTTGGAAATGCTAATTTATACCTCCTTCGCTCTTTGTGCTCTTGAGATATTGAGTAATTGCAGAATACAGAAAGGAAATACCGGTTTGTTTGACTGTGATTGTGTGGGTTTGGAAATGTGGAACCTTGTTTATGAATACTTCCACCACCTAAAAGGCCTTTTTCCCCATGTCCAAGACCCTAGCCAGTCATTTGAACCTGTGTCTAAGACCTCCTGATTAGTTAGTGGTGACACCCATATGTGAACTCTAGCATTTAGAGGCTGCCATCATGGTGAAGATGTTAGGGATTGAGAGAAATAGCATGCGCATTTTTCGCATCAAATCGTGTCCTGACCCCACTGGTCGAGAGTGAGTGATTCATTTTCATATTCTTATACTCTTGTACCCCGTGAGGACCTAGATTGCTCGGTCTCTATTCTGATGTCTTGAGTTGGATGCATGAGTTGACTGTTTTGAGTAGTGGTTGAGTCAAGTCTAGGTTGGTTGGTGAACAGAAGGGAGACTCTTCCTTTACTCGATTTTGCTGCACTCGAATGTCCTTTGTGGTGGTTGTCCAGGTTGCTATTGAGGTTGTTCATGTGTGATGTTTGAAAACCAGTACGATTCACTGTTCTGTGCCTTTATGACTTGTCCCCAATGTGGTTGATTGAATATGTAAGCTTACCTTGTGTCTGACTTGGTTTGCTTGGGGACAAGCAAACGGTTAAGTGTGGGGGAGTTTGATAGACCGTTAATTACACATGTTTTTACCCCTGTTCTTACACCGTTTGAGGTGTTGATTCTCGTGTTTTAGGCCGATTTCACGCTAGGTTGTGCTTGTTTTGATATTTCAGGTCCTAGTACGTGAATGGAGGCTTGGGAGCGAGTTTGGGTCGATTGGACGAGATCGGACGCGTGGCGAGGTGCCAAGGAAGCCGCACGGGCAGTCCGGGACATCACACGGCCGTGCAACTTACAATTGTGGCCGTGTGATTTTGCCGAGAGCAAACACGGGCAGATGGAAATCTCACACGACGCCGTGCGACCCTGGCCGTGTGGGATGGCTGAAGTGCAATAATTGATACGCTGCGTTTTGACTCACACGGGCAACTGGTGAGCCACACGGCCGTGTGGCCTGCCGTGTGAGTCGGGAAATCTTGGTTTTTCAGCCAATTTCGAGCCAAAAGTGGAGAATCGGATTTTCAGAGCAAAAACAGAGCCCTAGA